AGAAAAAAAAAACAGGTGTGGAAATAAAATAAAATAAAAGAAATACTGCACCATGAAAGACCCAAAGTAAAAAAAATCTTCCAAGTCATTCCCCTTGTTTATCAAGAACAGAACCAAACAAAACTGAAAACATTAGAACATTTTTAATGTAATGTTATAATTAATGTGTTAATTATAAATTTAATATTTGAATGTAAAAAATATTCTCTATTGTAATATTATTTATTGTACTAAATTTTTTATATGTTATATTTTATGATAAATTTTTCACCACGTATAGCATGTAAAAAATTTAACATTTGATTACTATTGATTGAAATATTTACTTTTTTATGTAATTAATATAACCTTCACATTTTTAAATTATTTTAAGCATAAAAGTTTAATGTTACAACTTTAAAGCTATAATTATGAGAAAAAATAGATTTAACATTTTAAATAACATTATGTATTAGAGTGAAAATAAACCATATCACGCTTTTTAATAGTAAATATACAATTGGTATTAGAATTTACTATGGTTATTGCCAAAAATGACATCTATCCTTTAATTTTAGACCATTGACCACAAAACGCCATGTCGTGTACTCGTTAAATGTTGATAATGACCGAAACTTGAAAAAACGACATCAAATATCATAAGCAACGACAAACTAATAGCGACAAAATTAATAAAAAGACGAAAGAAGGGAAAAAAGAAAAGGAAAAAAGTTTTCAGCATCCTTTCAAGCGACTGACAAATTTATAAAAAAAAAAAACCCTGGAAAATAGACAACCACACAAAAAAAAAAAGTTAAAACAATGAAAAAAAACGACAGAAGAATCCATAACGGAAGTTTATTACTTCAACAATTCCCTCAGGGGAAAAAAAAATCAAACGACAAGAAATGTGTATACTGGAAGAAATTTCATAAAAATTGAAAAACAGAGAAATAAATAAATAAGTAAACGATGATAAACTAGAAGCTCACTAGAAAAGAAATGATGGATCTTTCAAAAAAAAAAAAAAGAAAAGAAATGATGGGCCAAAGACGATAAGAGTCGAGGCAAATGGGCAAAGGACGGAAACCCAAAAAAAATAAATAAATAAATAAATAAAGTACTAAAAGTCAAAATGCATTGAGAACAGAAAAAGGAAATGAACGATAAGGGTAATGAATAAACGACAAGAAAAGCACAACGCAAGTAGAAACTACGGAAAAGGAGAAAAAACAACAGACTTGTTAAAACAGCTGCAACCTTAAAAATGACAGACTCAGAGAAACGACACTAAAATGAAAAACAACAACAAACCACAAAAAAAAAAAAAAAAAAAAAAAAACCAAAAAAAAAAAAAAAAAAAAAAAATACCACACAAGGGAAAAATATGAACCGTAGAGGACATAGGAAATTAGAAGACAAAAGGCCCGTTTGGGAGGTATATTTAAATCTAAAATTTTTAATTTTAATGTTTAAAATTTAAATTTTATGTGAGAATTTTATACTGTAGCCGAATCAATGATTTAAATTTGAGTATATTAAACAAACGACCCCAAAAAGATCCAAGAAAGAAGAAAAGAAGAAAGGAAGAAAAGAAAAGAAAAAAACTTGAACCAAATAAGCAACAAGGGCATTCAACTAACAACAAAACGACCGAACCGGGCATAATCTGGAAGTTACATCGCATACATAAAAGTAGTAATGACATTACCAACATAACTAAACACAAGTAGATCGCCCAACTGACAAGAAGAGTCCTGTAAAGTACAACTACATAGTAAAACAATTACAAACAAACTTCAAGTTCTTTACACATAATACAACAAACCATTTATTAAAATTGACCCCAAGAAAAAAAAATAAATAAATAAAAACCATCTATTATAGAAAACAGTTCTTTAATTTATCTGTTCTTAAAGTAAAGCACTGACTCAACGATGACTCCAATACCACAAGCTTCAGACCACTGAACACTGCAAAAAAGAACTCTCTTTATTCTCCTTAAGTTGTGCAAAAGCGCTCCTTCAACAAATGCAAGAAATTGAAACCTGTTAATTTGGATAATTGAACATCTTTAACAATATTGGAAGGAAATAGCATTCACTTTTCTACCATTTCATTCAGAGGAGGAGCAAATAAAAAATAAAAAAAAAGAGATTGACATTGGTTTTTTTACCATAGACCAAATGAACTTTAGTTTGCAGAGTTATATACATATATGCTTGACCTTATAGTCTTTGATCATCCTTAGTAGTTTTGCCTTGTGCACTGCGACCATATAGTAAATCCAATCGTGCAGTCCTAAGGTGACATATAATCCTCGTGATACGAAGGTGTCCTCATCACCTTGCTTGTGAGCTGTAGGAGTTCTAGAAACAGTCGATTCCTCTCCTGGACAACTCCTTGGAAGTGGGGCTCCACAGAGTTCAAAATTCTTTGCATATGAACTCGCTTCAAAGCTTTGCAGTTGAGTACTTATTGGAATCTTGCCCGATAAATTGTTGTTTGACAAGTCCAGCACATTAAGCCGGGGCACTTAGAGAGAGGCTTGAAGGGATTCCACAAGAAAGTTGGTTGTTTGATAGATCAATAGCTTCTAACAAGTTAAACCTACCAATCTCTGACGGAATTCGCCCACTGAAGTGATTTCTTGATAGGTTCAGAAAAACCAGATCAATAAGTTACAGTAATTTCCTTTGGAATTTCCCCGGTTCAGCTTATTGCTTGTGTTCACCGTTATACTCACACGGCAGAAAAATAAACTGAAACAAAATAACAGAAAAATAGAGAAGATAAAGATTTGTATGTCATATCTTTAGAAGGAAACCGGAGTGAAATCCAAATACCTCAAATATCGCAACTCAAGCAATGAAGAACTGAGATTACCTCTTACTGACAAAGATGTGTAATCAGTTCTACCAAAGGTTGGAGGAGAAAGATCAAGCTTCATCACATGACCGGATCTGTTGTCACACCGAATTCCAATCCATTCGCAGCACTCCTTTTTTTCTTCTTCATTTCCCCACGAAGAAAGAAGACCTTTTTCCTTTGCGCCTTCTCCAAGATTTGAATCCTGTTTAAGCTTGAGGATTGCTTGTTTCTCGGCCTCTATGCACCTGAGTTTTGGTTCTCCTACTATTGAAGGGGATCCATGAGCACCTCTCAAGTAAATCAGGTGCACTATATTAAACACAGAAATTGTAAGAGACAATCTACTCATAATTGCTCCAAATAGCACAATAAAGACGAAGAGAAATACTCAAATTTCTATAACTGTATTGATGATGATAGATTGTTAGTTCTTTCAAAGAATTCCTATTAAAACATATTTAAGCTTGACTGATCTCTGTGATATTGGCTCATGGCTATTAGCTAGAAGCTACTGAATGAAACTAAAATTAGACTTGGAGAATGAAACTAAAAAATACTAAAAAAAAAAAACTAATTGCAACGATGTGGTACATTAAATTGAAAGCTTGACTTTTTCAAAGTGTGAGACGTTGGGCAGATATCATTCAGTTGGTATTAAAACGTTGGGATTAGAAACATATTATTATATCTCTTAATTTTGTTTCTAATTAAGAGTAGAGCTACTAACGTCAAGGTCTTCTGCACTGGATCTGTAAAACAAAAGGCACCATGCAAAAACATTGTGATGAGGCAATCTGCTCGTTGTGGTGCAATGGTGAGGACGTCTTTGTTAGGACTCCAGTCCGAAACTCCATACCCACAAGAAGGAATCAGCCCAGTGTGGAAGTGAAGTGGTCCCGGAGCAGGTGAGGGAACTCTAGTTAGATAGATGGATTGGAGTTAGTTCAAGCCCTTTGCACTCCGTAGTGGTCCTCCGAGATTGCATTAATGGCCGAAGGAGATGGGGGCGTTTGATGCACCACCTGATCTCCTTTTTAACTAGAACAAAAAAAAAAAAAAAACCAAAGAAACAAACAAACAAAGAGTCGGTTTAGTTTGTTAATTTAAGTTTTTAATTTGAGTTTAGATGTGACTTTATGTGAGAGTTTTTTATTGTAGTAAAAGAGTTAAATGTGACTGTTTCTGATAGCTTTTTACTATAACAAAACTTAAATTCTAAACTTGAATTAGTAAAATAAACAGGGCTAAAGAGTCGTTACTAGTTTTGAAGTATGACTACTGACTCAAAGCTAAATAAGTATAATAATAAATGGAGCTCAATTAAAACAAAAACAAAAACAAAAAAATAATAATAATAAAAACCTTTTATTAGAACGCGCGCATATATATATATGTACGTTTACATGTATGTATGTCTAATCCTGGAATTCAGAGTTGGCGTATGGATGGAATTGCTTAGGACATTTTCCGACCAATAAAAGCTTTCTTTAAGTCGTTGGCAAATAGTAGATAGATGAATGAATAATAACAACGACGACGACGAGAACAACAACAACAACAACAATCATGCATGTCCATTATTGAGGACCTTGATAATGGGCGCCAGGCAGCAAAAGGACAAAAACGGCGCATTTGATCATTATATCTTCACCTTTCGGATATACAGTTACCAACAAATACTTGAACGATGCTTTTAACGACTATGATTTACTACGACTATGGACTGTTGTTTCATTCACAGAACAAAAATATTACGTGCTAAGACCTGACAAACACACTCTTAATCTCCTAATTGACTAACAAGTCAAACAGTAAATGGCTTAATCGAACTATCAAACTGTTTGAACAAAGTATAACGATTGCTTGATAAGAATAAGGGTAAGTAAGGAACTATAAATAAAATGACACAAGCAGATAATTATTTAACGTGGCCAAAATCCAAGAAAGGTAAACCATATACATCCCTAAGCACACAAGCAGAATCAGGTAAATATATTTATTTAGTTAAAATTACGGTTTACAAAGCTAACGGAGTTTTTGGTATACAAAAATGGTATTCATGACGAAATTTTCAACTGTTAAAAAAAAAAAAAAAAAAAAGCCAACAGAAAAAAAAAAAAAGTTGTATGGAAAAGAATCTCGAAGGTAAACATTTTTCCTCAAAATTTGCCCTGTCGTTCGAGATGTTTCGTTTGACCACTGTGGCCTCACTGCTGTGCAAGTACTTTCTTTACACCTGAGATTGGAGCCTTGGTGTGGGTAACATTCTTAGTAGATCAGAGAATTAAAAGAGATCGAAAGGTTTGATAAAGAATGGAATCTCACTCGCAACTCCTTAACATGGGAAAGCGTGTTATCGGCTTGTTAAATGCAGGGAAATGTGGAGTTTGGCACGGAGCTGAGAAGAAGCTACTCCCCTACACAGGGCCAATCCGAGCATTTTCATAATGACATAAATGTCTAAATACTAGTGAAAAGATATGAGCTTATTACAAACGGTACATTACCTAGACATCTTCTAACTTGAGCCACACCATATAGGTCTCGTTCAGTTCTCTGAACCGAGTTTTTAATTCTAATTTACTATAATAAAAAATACTGACAAAAAATCACATCTAACTTTTTACTAAAACTCATCACAGAACCGGACTAGATTTTAGAGTGAAAAAAAAAATCATGTCACGTCACCCATCCTATAACTAGAAGCATAGTCTCACGATAAATTGGTGACAAGTCACAGCAACAGACAGCTACTACATAAGAACATTGGCAAAATTGATGCAAGCAAAGCAGCTCATCGGCTTTCTTGCCGGCCTATGAGGAAATCTCACACTGGTTTTGCATAGATATTCTATGAACTGGTTAGAAAAACAAGCATGACAAAGCCGAAAACAGAAGGAGTGTAGCTCTCAACCCGACTTTGTCACTGAAAAAACTTATTGCTCATCTTGTTCTGCATCTTCATCAGAGAGTCGATTCTCAACCTCACTCCCACTGCTCACACTATCATAACTGACAACTGGGGACCTTCCACTTAGTGATTCCGAATTCTGTAAGGGCTCGTACTTGAGAAATTTTACTTTCCTTTTCTTTTCTGTGCTTCTCCCTTCTTTCCGTTTTTTCACTTCATTATCCGCTGATTTCATCAAGTGAGCAGCCGCTACAAAAGCAGCTGTCATGACTTCACTCATCTTTTCATCGTCCTCGTCTCCATCGAACTCTTCTCCCCGACTATCTACGTAAAATAGCAGATCATCATCCACTTTTGTGCTCTCCAACTCTGAAGCTTGCTGCTTAAAATCTGAGCTCGAAGTATCACAGACCAGTTTGGCATGATTTTTCAGGATGCTATCATCAAATACTCTTAACCCTTGATCCTCAAGGCTCAGAAGCCACTCTAGAGAAAAGATTAATATTAGAGGAATGGTTAGTCATCGTCTATTCAAAACTATCCCATTGAAACTAAGATGAGGTACTTACTAATAAGAGCTTTAGGTGAGGATCCATAAGATTTACTATCATTTTCCTCCATATGAATCTGTTTTCTGATCCATTTAATTAGCTGGGCAGCTAAGCAAGAGTTGGAGAAGGCATTTATGTAGGAGATAGATCTCCTCTGATCCCCATGTTCCCTGAAACAATCAAAACGATCAGATAAGCGCAAAGGCTTAGAAAAAGTTCCGCTACAACTACATTTGTGTTTCCCCCAATTCTTTCTTTGGTGGGTAAGGTATTATCTAACCGTACCGAAAATACTCTACAGCTTCATGTGTAACAATTAATCTTGCCATGGCAAGGCGTCTCACTTGGTCAGCAGGTAGGTCAATTGTTCTCTCAGGATTAAGGAAAGAATAATCAACCAATATGACTGCATCATACAGAAGTTTCCTTAACAAGACTTCATCTCCAGAACTCTGCATATAAAGTTTCCATCGCATAGTTATTCAGTTTTTAAGATCATAATCAAACAAATACGCTCTTAATATGACTTAGTCTGAAGAATATATTCCATCCAATATTCCAAATCTCTATAAGAAGTAGGCAATTCAACACAAATGGACCATTCTCAACAATTGAGAAAATCTGCTTTGACTTTCTAATGACTTCTAAAACTAAATAGTGACACTTCAACATGATATCATAATAATAACGTTCGAAAAGTGCGATACTGACCGACAGAAATGTAAGCGGCAAACTCTTCTCCAACAGCATTCTCACAAGGGTCTCTGGAACGTCAAGGCAGAACTTTAGCGCATCAAATGTGAACTCAGATGAAATAATGTCATAATAATAAGACACGTTTTCTTTTTTTTTTTTTTCCAAAGCCATGAGATTTCCTATTTGGCAGAGGACATCCAGGAAACTAAAATGCATATATACACGATATAGGAGCTTAACATTTGCTTTTGTGAAAACTAAGAAAGAATTAAAAGTAAACAAACAGGCAAATTTCCAGTAAATAGACATTGATAAGATACTGTACTCGTCAGTGTAAATTCCTTTACAACCCTTTTTGGGTGAAAAAAATGTCACAAACTAACACATTTCAGAAATCGGGGCCTTCTTAACATTTAGATATATACTTATATTCGATGTTATATATATATATATAGAGAGAGAGAGAGAGAGAGAGATGAACTTGAAAGACCTCGGCACCATGTCCAAATAAAGATCCAAAGACAGGTAACAATAATACTAACCGAAAAAATAAAAGTTGCCAAATCCAGTTATGGAACCAACAGCCCAAGTCTTCAACTCTTTCTCCAAATCCTCCTTTGAAATTGAAATCCTACTTCTTAAATTCAAGCACAGCTTCAACAAAAACGACTCCACAATCACAACTCCAGCCAAATACCCCACATCACATCCTTCTTCACCAACTCTTCCACAAACCTCACTACTCACAAGCGGTAAGAAAGACTCCACTCCCGCGTCCGAACCCGCCCAAATGCGAACCAAATCGGAAAAAGGCGCAAGCAAATTTGAGCCGTTTGATTTGCCTTCCGTGCTCGAACACACATTTATGCACCCAAGAATCACTTCCACCATAGACTTGACCTCTTTCACCGCTTTCTTCTCCCTCTTGGAAGCCAAATCCTTCCCAAACAACACAACGACAACCTTGTAAACCTCGTACAGAACAGGAGCAAGCAATGCCACGCTTTTCGAAGAATCGCACGAGGAAGAACACGAAGATATCAACTGAAACAACTGTTTCGCAGCTGAAATTCGATCCAAAGGCTCGTCTTTTGGGTCGTAACGGCTGCGAAATGACAGAGCGGCGTAGACCCAGATCGATTCCAGAGGTGGGTCCACTCTGGCTTGCATTAATTCGTAGAATTCCTGAAGAAATTGAGCTGATTTAGTGTTTTCATCTCCAACTTCGGTTGAAAGGCGCTTTAGCGATTGGGTAAGCTTGATATTGTAGCATTCGCCGATGAGGAGGTTGGGATTTTGGAAGTTTGAGGAATTTGGTGGGTTGATAAGATCTAACGCCATGGCTAATCGAGAGGAATTGAAGAGAATATGAGAGGAATGGGAGTGTGGCTTTGAGATTGTAAAACCCTAATTCACTGTTCTTTTGGGGGTGGCAATGGTTGAAGGGGTTCAAGTCTTGATGGTGGCGCGACAATTTCTGTATTGTGCTATAAAACGACATCAATTTATCAAGGGAAGAAAACGATATAATACGACACCGTATGTTCAAAAATAATAATAATAAAGCCAAAACAAAATAAAGCCAGAAAAAGGGACCATGTTGGAAAACACGACATGCCGTTTGCGTTGAAGAAACACGTGGTAATAACAATAACAATAATAATGTTTGTCGTTGTTGGTGTTGTTGTTGCACTCTACACACTTTGAAGATGGAATCAGAGATAAAATAGACTATAACTTATTTTTTATTATAACTTTTATTATTCATATTTGAATAACGTATAATCTCATTTCTCTGCAGTCTGTATTGTCGTTTATCACGAAGAAGATTTTATATGGAAGTCGAAGAAACATGTCGTTGACGCGTTTACAAAGAATGAGAGGATAGATGGAACTCCAAACGACAGGAATCTATAAGGATATCGATATTTTGTTTTTATGACCAGAAAAGTACAAAAAGGAGAAAAAAAAATGACACGTTTATAAGGTAAATATGACATGTCATCTTCACAAGTAAAACGACATGTTGTTTTTATAAGGAAAGCGGCATGTCGTTTCTTAAATAGACGAGAGATTTACATTGTGGTTTGGATTGAATAAGAAAACACACAATTGTATCATATGTTGGATTATATTTTGACAATAATGTTAGTCGAAAAGGAGAAAAATATGAATATGAATTTTTTTCAATGACAAATTTACAGAATATACCGTGTGTTTTTTAACAATAAAATGTACCATCTATTCTAGACTTACTCAAATATATACCAGAACACATTAAGTACCTATGAGATTAATACCCTGACTTTAACAATGCGCAATTGTAAGTAAAGCAATAACTAGCATTTCCTTGAAGAAAGGGGAAAAAAAAAGTTAAGAGAAGAATAAACATTTTTCATTTAGTTTCATTGTGAGATAAAACCAGAGAACATTAGGCTTGACATTATAGCTCTCAATCTAGTGTTTTTCAACCAATCTAGAGTAGGTACGTGGGCTTGAAGGTGGATATATCTCTCGGGGAACCCTGTCTCTGACATTATTCCCATTCCTCGGGAACAATTCCGGTTACAACTCCTTGAGTACAAGACGGCACTAATCGATCTGTAAATTGAAAAAGATGAGGTCCGGATATTATTTAATGAAGGATCAGGGAGAGCAACTCCTATTTTCTGTATGATCGCTAAAAGAACTAAAGAATGAGAAGTGGTGAACCTCTATTGGCCTTGGTAACTTCGTGAGTTAAGGAGTGGTGGAGTGCTTTGTGATACTCGTAATTGCATACACCTTTGTAACTGTAATTCGAAATTAATGAATTTTGTTCGGCAACGATTGTTTTTTTGGGTTTTTTTTTTCTTGTTTGGCAATCATATAGGGTGTCTCTTCATTTTTATTGTTTTTTGTGATTATTTTCTTTCTTATTATATACTGCAAATTGTTGATCTGACATTACTTAAAGACTTACAGAAACTTTTCTGGTAAAACCTGCAGTGCACAAACTATTTTTTATCGAGAATTTTTGTTACTATTTTAACTAGCTAGGTTTGTGATTTTTCTTTCGGTTGAAAGAGGTACCATATTAGCGATAAGCATAAGAATAATTCAACCATAAACCAATTTTTCATTGTCGACAAAGAAATGAAACTAGAAGACAATGTGCCTGACTTCGAGAGTCTTCCACGATGCAAACTCCACATTGTGGTTCGAATAAGAATTTTCATATATGATTAATTTTGGTGAGAGTTCGTAGACCTGGATAATTTAAGTTATTTATTTTATTTTTGTTATTTTTATTTTACAATTTGATTTTCGGTTATTCAAATAATTTTAGGGTTATTGCAGGCTAAACCAAATTTGTCTAAGTGCCCAAAAGTTCGTCCAGTTTATTGGGTTTTGCCTAATCCTAGTTGGGTAAAGGTTAATATAGACGGGTCTGCGAGAGGTTCTCCTGGTGTGGCTGCTTGTGGGGGAATTTTCGAGGTTTTGTGTGTGGTTGCGTTAGTATTTTTCTTGGAGAGTGTTTGCTTTTGAAGCTGAGCTTTGGACTATCATTAATGCTATTTTTGTTGCTTATGATCGTGGCTTGCATAAGCTTTGGCTTGAAAGTGATTCTCTATGGCCATTTTACTTCTTAAAACAGGTTCTTTGGATGTACCTTAAAATTTACAGAATGAGTGGAATCCGGCTATATTGTTGTCTAAAAGAATGGATTTTAGGTTTTCTCATGTATATAGAGAAGCCAATTGTTGTGCTGATAGATTGGCTAATCGTGAGGTAATGAATAGGAATAGAATATGGTGAACTTCTTGTCCTGATTTTTTTGATTTTTTGGTGTATAGAGATGTTATGAAATTACCTTTTTACAAATTCTCTTGATTGAGTTTTTGTTTTTGTTTTCTTTTCTTTCTTTAATAATATTCTCCTCTATTTGAGGAAGTTTCATTTAAACAATAATAATTTTAGGGTAACAAATTTCGGTACTTAATTGAATTAACACAATCTCCATGGGAAACGATACTCAAATTCACTCTTTATTACTTGTTATGATATCGTGCACTTGTGATTTTCACGAGCATTTATAATGCTTTAATAAAATTCTAGTGCAAGTTTTAAAGTCTATTCAGAAATTTTTTTTTTAAAAGTCGCATTTTGTGATTTTGACCGAAAACTCTTTTAAAAAATTAAAGGACTCCTAACAGATCATTTACGCTTAAAAAGTCTTACAAGTGGAGTCCAAACTGTAAATGATGCTTCGACTATTGGGGTTGGCTAGAAAACTTTTGAGTCTTCCATTAAACTTTTATAACCCAACTATGTATTTGGACACTTTTGGCAGTCATTCTAGAAGTGCTGGTACTACTTTCCAGCAAAACTACAACCTTGACCAGAGACGCTCACTTATTTTTGTTCTCAAAGCTTTCGTTAGTATACAAGGCAGAAAAATAGGAAATGCTCGACTTGATCAACCTCATGTTGTCTATTGGTAACAAATAATCAAATGCTACGTGACATCTTTTCCTTACATAATGCGCAAAGAAAACTAGCGCTGGAAATGTCGAACTGCATTCAAACGTATTAGATGGGGTTTTTTCATGCTCTCTTACAAAGTCTTACCGGATGTTTGTTTCAAGAATTCGTCATGATTCTGAATCATGATTTTTAGTTCTCTACAGTGTTTTTTTTTTACAAAAATTTAAATTTTAAAAATCAAAATTATAAATGATGGTTCTGAATCCATAAACCAAACATCTCATTAGTATTAGCTTTTGTGTTTTCAGTCTGCTAGATTTATTTCTTAATGGTATTTTATACGGCCTTGGTATTATGAGTCTCTCAATCTTGATGGATATGATTGTTTTAATGATTGTGGATTTTTTTTTTTTTAAATAGTCATAAATGTGATCAATTATTGTGTACCTATTTGGATATTTATTTTCAAAATTTGGTACGCGTCTATTTTTCTTGACTTTGAGCATCATTCAAGTTTATTAGTGGAACCATTGCTCATCGTAGTCACAATTTTCTCTAGTTTGAGGTCACAGAGGTTATTATAATTTATTGGCACTTGTGGTGTTCCCCTACAAAAATTTAAATTTTAAAAATCAAAATTATAAATGATGGTTCTGAATCCATAAACCAAACATCTCATTAGTATTAGCTTTTGTGTTTTCAGTCTGCTAGATTTATTTCTTAATGGTATTTTATACGGCCTTGGTATTATGAGTCTCTCAATCTTGATGGATATGATTGTTTTAATGATTGTGGATTTTTTTTTTTTTAAATAGTCATAAATGTGATCAATTATTGTGTACCTATTTGGATATTTATTTTCAAAATTTGGTACGCGTCTATTTTTCTTGACTTTGAGCATCATTCAAGTTTATTAGTGGAACCATTGCTCATCGTAGTCACAATTTTCTCTAGTTTGAGGTCACAGAGGTTATTATAATTTATTGGCACTTGTGGTGTTCCCCGTTCAAAAAAAAAGTCAAAATTCAACGAGGATAGTTTTTAAAGGAAAATGCTATTCAATCTCATAAAGCTGTCTCAAACAGGTGGGACCAACCGTGTGGGGCCCACAGACGATCCCATTCAACCAGTCAACTCCGAGTTGGAGTTGCTCTTGACGTTTTGCAAAATGTAGGAGATGAGTTTGCAATTAATTGTTGAAAATAAATTTTTGGTTGACCGAGTGAATATATGAATTGTTCCATTTTAAAAAATAAATGGACATATCCAGAAAATCAATACATGCAAAACTCAATTCAATGTCGCTTTTACATGCTATTAAATATTTAGTCAGAGTGGATATGTAAACTCGCATACATATGAACGCAATAAAGTTAATTTACATAAAAATCCGAGTTAGTTTCCAACGTATTGAACGTGTGATTTTCTCATCTTTCTTGGAAAGCAACGATTCTTGAATCACATGATCTTTCTTCTGATCAATAACAACAATGCTCCTTGCCATGATCATGAGCACATCAGCCTTTCAAATTATTTTGTTTTCAGTTCTTGTGATTTACTCGACAGAAGCCGGAGAGCCAAAGTTCAAGTGCAAAGAAGCCGAGAGCCAGGCACTGCTAAAATTTAAGGCGGGTTTTTATGAATCCGACGTTGGCTTTCTATCGTCTTGGGAGGGAAGAGAGTGTTGTGAATGGACCGGAATTCGGTGCAGCAACAAATCTGGTCATGTCATCAGGCTTGATCTTTCTCCTTCAACTTTTGGTATGGATGATGGATATCCGGGCTACAATACTCGGATTCTAGGAGGTAATTTCAGCTTCAAGTTGGTCGATTTGCGGTATTTGAGTTATTTGGATCTAAGTTGCATCAGCTTTTATGAGCAGAATTCCATCCCAAGTTTCATTGGCAGCCTCAGCAAGTTAAGGTACCTCAACCTCTCTTACACCACCATCACCGGAGAAATTCCTCCACAACTTGGAAATCTTTCTAGCTTGCAGATTTTAGATCTTCGCGATAGTTTTAAATGGAAAAAGACCATAAGCAATCCAGAGTGGATTTCACATCTTTCTTCTTTGCAACTTCTTGACCTTAGTTACTCAGACATGAGCTTAGCTAATGACTGGGTGCGCGCAGTTAACAACCTTCCTCACTTGACCGATTTGAAGTTGAGTTATTGTGATCTTCCGAGTACTATTCCCCCGTCTCTTTCGCCTGTTAATTCTTCAAAAGTTCTTGCTACTCTTGATCTCTCTGGAAACCATTTCTCTACTTCTTTACTAATACACCAATTGTTGTTCAACTATAATCGTAGCCTTGTTCATCTTGACCTCTCCCTTTGCTCCTTAAAAGGTTCAATTCTACAAGCTTTAGAGGATATGTTTGCTCTTGAGTATATTGACCTTACCGGCAATGACTTAGGAGGCTCCATTCCAAAATCTTTCGGGATCAATATGACTTCCATTGCATTCCTTTCTCTTTCAAACAATCAACTGCAAGGATCCATCCCAGAAGCTTTTGGAAACATGACGAGCCTTGAATATCTCGACGTCGGCGAGAATAGGCTTGAAGGTGAAATTCCAAAATCCATTTGGGAAATATGTGCATTAAAAACGCTGCGACTACACGATAATAATCTCAGTGGAGAACTCTGGTTTGCTGAATCATCATCCAGGTGTGCTCATTTCTCTTTGGAATCTTTGCTCTTAGAGAACAATCAACTCACAGGATCACTTCCTAACTTTACACTTTATCCATCTCTGAAAAGCCTATGGCTTAGCTCGAATAAGTTCAACGGAAACGTATCCGAGAGTGTTGGCCAATTATCACAGTTAGAGACTTTAGATATTTCTAAAAACTCTATGGCAAGTGTGATTTCTGAATCTCATCTTTCAAAGCTCTTCAAGCTACTTTCTTTGGATTTATCTTCCAACTCATATATAGTTTTCGAGATCCCTTCTGATTGGAGACCTCCCTTTCAATTGGATTATATACGTCTTGGATCTTGCAAGTTGGGTCCTCATTTTCCAAAATGGCTTCAAACTCAAAAGAATTACAGCGAGCTAGATATCTCCAACTCCGGGATTTCAGATTCTATTCCAAGTTGGTTTTGGAATTTTCCTACAATGGTAACAGAACTCAATCTGTCAAGTAACGAGATTTGGGGAATAAGTCATGATAATGAGCAAGAGGTCAATGTTTCATCAATAGAGTTGATATCTTCACCTTCTTTAGATTTGAGCTCAAATCATATAGGAGGCCAAATACCGCCTTTTTTCCTCAAAATGTCTACACTGCGTCTTTCTAGAAATAAGTTTACGGAGATTAATTCCATATGCAATATCTCCGCGTCCAACTTACTCTTTCTTGATGCTTCATATAATCAGCTGTCAGGGGAGCTTCCTGATTGCTGGTCAAATATGGAGAACTTGGAAGTTCTTATTCTGACAAATAATAAGTTTTCGGGGAAAATTCCCTTTTCAGTTGGCTTCCTAACTCGTATCGAGGCATTGCATTTGAGCAACAACAATTTCACTGCAGAATTGCCTTCATCCTTGAAAAACTGTACAGAGTTGATAGTTCTTGATGTTGGAGAAAACAAGTTATCGGGCCCCGTACCTGCATGGATTGGGAAAAATCTAACAAAACTTGTTATTCTTAGCCTCCGATCCAATAACTTTTACGGTAGTATGCCCACACAACTTTGTCATTTGGAAAATCTTCAATTGTTGGACTTGTCTTCGAATGAGCTCTCAAGCAGTATTCCGAAATGTCTCAGTTATATTGAAGGAATGAAAGAAGATGGGTTTCCAGACTTACCTTTCAGCAACGAGTCAATACTCCTAATGTGGAAAGGTGCAGTACGTGAATTCAAGAATTTGGAACTTCTAAAGAACTTTGATTTGTCAAACAATAAGTTGATAGGAGAAATTCCAAAAGAAATCACTAAGCTTATTGCATTGGTTTCTTTGAACTTGTCAAGAAACAATTTGAGTGGAGAAATCCCACAAGAGATTGGTCGGTTGAAATCTTTAGATGCTCTTGATTTATCCAACAACCACCTTTCCGGTCGCATTCCTTCAAGTCTTGCTCAAGTAGACCGTCTCGGTATATTAGACTTGTCAAGAAATAGCTTGTCAGGAAAAATTCCAACTGGCCCTCAACTCCAAAACCGTGATGCCGCTGCATATTGGGGAAATCCTGAACTTTGTGGTGACCCACTTCCAAAGAAATGCGTACATGAAGAAGAACCGGCTATTTCTGAAGTTACTGAAGATGCACATGGCGGCGACCAAGAGGACGATGATGGATTCTTAAACCCAGGATTCTATGGTAGCATAGGACTTGGATTTGTAGTTGGATTTTGGGGAATTTGTGGGACATTAATCTTCAAAAAGTCTTGGAGATACAGATATTTCAAGCTCTTAAATGATATAGGAGATCGGATCTATGTAGTAATGGCAGTACAGAAGGCAAAATTACTGCGGATGATTAGAAGCTAATTGGTAAGTTGCTTCTCCCTCTCAAAAGTCTTAGAAAAACTTGTTTACATAAATTTCTATTTTATTTATTTATTATAGCTGGTGATGATCATTGATTTTTACCATTGTCAGGAGCCACCCTTCAGGTGAAGACTGCACTTTACATAGCGGAGAGTTTTCTGTTTCGGACGAGTTTTCTTCAACAAATAATTTGTGATGTTAAGGGACTGTACTCTCTTTCTGTAGTTCCTGCTAGTTTCTTTACAATATTCTGCAATGTAAACTACTTGAATGTTTACCAGCCCTGCTTTGATATATAGGTTACTCTGTTGTTGGTGTTCACGTTTTACTCTGTTGTACTGCATTTGATGTGTGGTGGTATTTATTATTAATGTGTTTGGTTTGCAATGTTGTATTGTATCATGCATACTCTATTCTCTTGGACATGTAGATTATAGAACTTGCTGAAATTACAGCTTAATTTCGAGATTAATGAAAAAAAATACAGATTGTAATTTATTAAATATCTAGATCTTAGCGATACTGAACTAGGTATAAAAAAAGATGAATTGGGTCTCACATCTTTCTTCTTTACAACTACTTGACCTTAGTGTCACAGACATGAGGTTAGCCCATGACTGGGTGCATGTGGTCAGTAACCTTCCTCGCTTGGTAAATTTGAAGTTGAGTGAATGTATTCTTCCGGATGTTGTTCCTCCGCATCTTTCCCTCGTTTATTCTTCAAGATTTCTCGCCGTCCTTGATCTTTCCGTAAACTATTTTCCCTCTGCTTCTATATTGCTGTGGTTGTTCAACTACAGTCATAGCCTTGTTCATTTTGACCTTGCCGGTTCCCTGCCAAATAGTTCTTTTCCAGAAGCATTTGGTAACATGGCTTCCCTTGAATACCTTGATCTTCAATGCAATTTTAAAGGTTCCAATATTCCAGATTCTTTTGGGAATATGACTGCGCTTACATATCTTGATCTGAGCCTCAGTAATTTAGAAGGTTCCATACCAGAGTCCTTTGGGAATATGACATCGATTGCATTTCTCGATCTCAGCGGTAATCACTTGGAAGGATCCATTCCAGAATCTTTTGGAAACATGGCTTCTCTTGAATACCTTTATCTTAAGACAAACATGCTAGAAGGTGAAATTCCGGAATCTATTTGGAAAATTTGTGCACTAAAGCAATTCCGTTCTGCACGGTCTTAGCGGACAGCTCCGATTCTCTGAATCATCATCCAGGTGTGCTCATTTCCCTTTGGAGTTTTTGAACTTAGATGATAATCGAATTGTGGGATCATTGCCTAACTTTACACTGTATCCATCTCCGAAAGAGCTACATCTTTCCTCGAATCAATTAAATGGAAACACATCGAAATGTATAGGTCAACTATCAAAGTTGGAGGTTTTGGATATTTCTAACAACTCAATGGCAGATGTGATGTCTGAAGCTCATTTTTCTAAACTTTCCAACCTACATACTCTGAATTTATCTTCCAACTCATGTTTGGTTCTGAACATGTCTTCTGATTGGATTCCTTCCTTTCATGGATTGGAAAGTATATCTCTTAGATCCAGCAAGTTGGGTCCTCATTTCCCCAAATGGATCCTAACTCAAACGAATTGTACCATTCTTGACGTCTCCAACACCGGAATTTCAGATCATATTCCCTACAATTTTTGGAAAAGTCTTCCTAATTTGGAGAGTCTTGATCTGTCTGATAATGAAATCAGGGGAACAATTCTGGATAAGCAAAGATTCAGGGGACCTTCGAGATTGATTTTGAAGGAGATAGATTTGAGTTCAAACCAGCTAGAAGGCTCGATACCTCTTTTTTTACTCGAAGTGGTTTCACTAAATCTTTTCAAAAATCGATTTTCAGACCTAAATTTCCTGTGTAAGGTTCATAAATCTCCATATCTGACCTTTCTTGATGTTTCATACAATCAACTTTCGGGCGAGATTCCTAATTGTTGGTCAAATATGCGCTACTTGCGAATTCTTATTCTGGCAAATAATAAGTTATCGGGGAAAATTCCTGCCTCTCTTGGCTTGTTAAGGAAACTACAGACCTTGCATTTGGGTAACAACAATTTGACCGGGGGATTGCCTTCATCCTTACAAAATTGTACATGGTTGATTATTTTTGACGTAGAAGCAAACAAATTGTCAGGGCAGATACCAGCGTGGATTGGGAAGAGTTTCGCAGCTCTTGTCATTCTTAGCCTGCGATCCAATAACTTCAATGGGAGTATTCCTGTAGAGCTGTGTCGCTTAGTACGCCTTCAACTCTTGGACTTGTCTTCAAATGATCTCTCGATCAATGTCCCCAAATGTCTTGACAATATTACAGCAATGAAAGAAATTGGGAGCGAAGATTCAACAATTTATTGGCCTTACGAAGGCAACGACCCAACTCGTTTCGATGTTCCTTTGCAATTCTAAGACGAAAGATTATTTTTAGTATGGAAAGGAGCACTCCAGGAATTCACAAGCTTGGGACTTCTGAAGAACATTGATTTGTCCAGTAACAAGTTGTCAGGTGAAATTCCAAGAGAAATCACTAAGCTCCTTGGATTGATTTCTTTGAACTTGTCGAGAAACAATCTGACTGGAAAGATCCCGCAAGAGATTGGTCGGTTGAAATCTTTAGATCTTCTTGATTTGTCAAACAATCACCTTTCCGGCCGAATTCCTTCGAGTCTCTCTCAAGTAGATCGTCTCAATACATTGGACTTGTCAAGCAACAATTTGTCAGGCAAAATTCCAACAGGAACTCAACTCCAAACACGCGATGCTGCTGCATACATGGGAAATCCTGAACTTTGTGGAGATCCACTCCCAAAGAAATGTCCAGGTGAAGAAGAACCACCCATCTCTCCTGGAGCTACTGAAGATGCCCACGATGGCGAAGAAGAAGATGGGTTCATAACCAAAGGATTTTACATTAGTGCGGCAGTTGGATTTATAGTTGCATTTTGGGGAGTTTGTGGGACATTAGTCTTCAACAAGATGTGGAGATACAGATACTTCAACTTATTGAATGACGCTGGTGATTGGCTTTACGTAACCGTAGCAGTTCGCAAGGCAAAACTGTTGAGGATGATCAAAACCTAGCCAATTGGTAAATACTTTTTCGCTCAAAAGATTTAGGGAAAGTTCGTTTATGTAAGTTATCATTCTCTTGCTTAATTAATTAATTTTTGTATTTCCTACTGCTTTGAAATGTCATAGAGAAGCATAGCTTTATTTTGAGTGATGGCCCTATGTTGTATGCAGGTTCTGGAGCGCTTTCTGTTCGAAGTGATAGCTTGTAAAATAGTTGAAGTACTTGATTTGTTGCAGCTTTCTATCTTTCGATGCAAGGGAAAATGGCTTGGCCTGGTGTAAATTGCCCTGCTTTGGTATTTACCATTTATGAATTCTATGTTGTTGGTGTTTATGTTTATGTATTATGTTATTGTGTTTGGTTTACAATGTACAAGTGTTGTCCCCTATTCCAGCTTGGATCTGCCAATGATTGTTTTTGGCTGAAAAATGAACATGTAATGATATTTGTGTCGCCTGAAAAAAATATAACATAATCCATTAAGTACTTGTTGTAGTATATTAGAAAAGATGGATAAAATCATTCTCATTATGCTGATGGCTCATTTCGACGTGAATTTTCTACCCACGTCCCTGTTTTTTACTCTGAAATATATATATATATCTGTAGTATTGGAACATTGATGATATTGGTAGAAGTTGATTTCGAACGGAATAAGAATTATTCGGATATATAAGAAAATATCTGGCCAGCAAAAAAGTTATATAGCAACAGTGAAGGTAAAGAATAGTTATAATAATATGAAATAAGTTGTCCACTTGGGAAATTGAGAATAATTTCTAATAAGCAAGAACTTTGAAACCAAAAGCCGAATGACGAATCGGAGGGAAAATATAACATGCCAAAAAATCAGTTCTAATTCGTACGTATAAGCAGTAGTAACACAACAGATGCTGGTATTTAAGTAAAAATTCGGCAGACCAAATCACCTCAATTTTGCCACCTAAATTTTGAAAACTCTCAATTTGTCCATTAAATTTTTTATTTGTCTCATTTAAGTCTTTTGTTAAGAATTTTTAGTAAAATTAGACAAAATATATATATATATATATATATATGAGTTAAGTGTTGCTATGTGGTTTTTATCTTTTTTTTAAAAAAATTCAAACAAAAAGACCAATTAACTGCATTTCTCTCTTTTCTATCTATTTTTTACAAAGATTACAATAGAAAAGGTTAAGTAGGAAAAATGTAAAATTCATAGAACAAAATAAGAATTTTTAAATTTTAATGGGCAAACTAAAAATAATTCTAAACTTTAAGAGATACTAGTGATAATAATCTAAAATTCTTGTAAAAAATGAGAACATAGTAGAAATTAGAAGGTTGGAACGTAGAATACACTAAACTTTTTGGTATAATAAATAAGTACTGATTGTACTTTATTTGTAAGATCATAAACATGATAAGCTCATTCTCATCATCAGCAATTTCAATTGGGACATGTACTTCTACGCCAAATTTAACTATTTTTTCTTTTTAAGGGATAAAAAATGAGTTTCTATAGTTCGTCATTTCTTACTAGTTATATTTGGTTAGTATAAACTGCATTCTCTAAAATAGTTAATTATTTACCTAATGATTGGAGTAGAAAAAGAACGGAAAAAAATTTAAATCATTAGCCATTTTGACTAAAGACATGAAATGGCAAATATTTTTTTTTAACAAAATGTATTAAATAGTAGATTTATAAAACTAAATTAAATAAATAGCATATTTTAAAAATATTTGAAGTAAATAGTTTACGTAGTAAATGAGTTATTTACCGCGTAAATAGTACGTTTACAACTAGTAAAAATATTTTTCATGTAAATTTTCTTTTTACGACAGATAAAAAGATTTTTCTCACTTAAATAAAGATTTTTTAATATTTTTACGACATAAATTATTTTTTTACTAATTTTAATAAATAATTCATTTACCACGTAAACTGCAATTTACTTTAAATAGTCTTAAAATTTATTATTTACTTAATTTAATTTCAAAAAATTTGCTATTCACTACAATTTTCCTTTTTTTAATAACCTATCTCATGGGTCAATTTAACAGTGATTATTACATTACATAGCAAAATTTCATGCACCTTAAATTGAAATTTCGCAAAATTTTCAAAATATTATAAATATAACAAAAATAATATAGTCATTATCATAATAACGTCTCATTTGATACTATATAATAATATCAAAATTATTTTAATAATATCAAAATTTTGCTATTCTTATAATATTTTAAAAGTTTTACTATACTTAACTCTCGCTAAATGTGTAAAGAGCCCCAGTTGGATAAGACATAGGTTCGGTCCAACCTGGACGTCTGGGCCGGGCCCAACGCCAGACGTAAGAGGCGGACCACGAACTATCCTTTCAGCCCAGCCTTATTTACAACTCTAAGCGTGCATTATTGGCTTCAAAAATGCTCTTGGGTCACAAAAGTGGACCCAACAGCAATGCTCTATTGGTTAGAAGACTTGGAGTCTTGTACCCCACAGTTATTGCTAACTACTTTCAATCTCATTATTAGCCAACTTAGTGCCTTGACAATTTTGAAGTAAATGGCACGCTCAGTTATGCCGTGTCCAAAGTCTGATTTGTATGTATTGTGAGATTAAGGTTTCATTCATTTTACCGATTCGAGTTTTACTGCAGTAAAAAGTTCTCAGAGACAGTCACATTTAATTTTTTTGTTACAGTAAAAAACTCTCACATAAAGTTACATTTCAACTCGAATCAGCGAACGAAACGGACCCTAAAGCATGTATAATTTAAACCAATACTCTTGTGTACATAGCTAAGAAACTAAGCTTACAAACATTAATCTCTCGTCCGTTTGTATAAGTCAAGACCTTCACATCACATTAATGGGAAGGCAAGAAAATGAGACGAAATTGCATGTATTCTACCGTATTGGACTGGAAATCCCGGTTGGCTATGTTTTGGTTGTTGTGTTTATTCTTGGAGATAGTGTTATTTGTGAATTAAGTTAACCACATCTTCATTCTGATCATTGATTCCCATTGCCATGATGATCATGAGCAGATCAACCTGTCGTACTCTCGTTTTTTTACTTTTTTTGATTCACTTGACGGGGTGGCTGGGGTTCAACTCCAGGTGTTGGAAAGCAAAAACTCAGGTGCAAAGAAGCAGAGAGACAAGCATTGTTGAAGATCAAAGAGGGTATTTACGATGATGAGCATGGTTTTCTTTCATCTTGGGGGGAAGAAGAAGAGAAAAGAGAGTGTTGTGAATGGATTGGAATTCGGTGTGACAACCGATCCGATCATGTCGTTAGGCTCGATCTTTCTGCTTCAACTTTTGGTCCAGATTTCTATTACTTTGAAGGAACCAACATCAGTTCTTCAATGGTTAATCTCAGTAATTTGAAGTATTTGGACCTAAGTGGCATCAATTTTTATTGGCATCAATACCCAATCCCAAGTTTTCTTGGTACCCTCAGCAAATTGAGGTACCTCAACCTCTCTCAGACTTACCTATGGGGAGAAATTCCTCCTCAACTTGGAAACCTTTCCAGCTTGCAATATCTAGATCTTAGCAATACTGAACTACGCATAAAAAATATGAATTGGGTCTCACATCTTTCTTCTTTACAACTACTTGACCTTAGTTCCATGTACATGAGCTTACCCGATGACTGGGTGCATGTGGTCAATAACCTTCCTCGCTTGGTAAGTTTGAAGTTGAGTGAATGTTTTCTTCCAGATGTTGTTCCTCCGCATCTTTCCCTCGTTAATTCTTCAAGATTTCTCGCCGTCCTTGATCTTTCCAGCGTCTATTTTCCATCTGCTTCTATATTGCTGTGGTTGTTCAACTACAGTCATAGCCTTGTTCATCTTGACCTTGCCGGTTCCCTGCCAAATAGTTCTTTTCCAGAAGCATTTGGTAACATGGCTTCCCTTGAATACCTTGATCTTCAATACAATTTTCAAGGTTCCAATATTCCAGATTCTTTTAGGAATATGACTGCGCTTACATATCTTGATCTGAGCCACAGTAATTTAGAAGGTTCCATACCAGAGTCCTTTGGGAATATGACATCCATTGCATATCTCGATCTCAGCGGCAATCACTTGGAAGGATCCATTCCAGAATCTTTTGGAAACATGGCTTCTCTTGAATACCTTGATCTTAAGACAAACATGCTAGAAGGTGAAATTCCGGAATCTATTTGGAAAATTTGTGCACTAAAGCAATTCCGTGCAGATAACAACGGTCTTAGCGGACAGCTCCGATTCTCTGAATCATCATCCAGGTGTGCTCATTTCCCTTTGGAGTTTTTGAACTTAGATGATAATCGAATTGTGGGATCGTTGCCTAACTTTACACTGTATCCATCTCTGAAAGCGCTACATCTTTCCTCGAATCAATTAAATGGAAACACATCAAAAAGTATAGGTCAACTATCAAAGTTGGAGGTTTTGGATATTTCTAACAACTCAATGGCAGATGTGATGTCTGAAGCTCATTTTTCTGAACTTTTCAACCTACATACTTTGAATTTATCTTCCAACTCACGTTTGGTTTTGAACATGTCTTCTGATTGGATTCCATCCTTTCATGGATTGGAAAGTATATCCCTTAGATCTTGCAAGTTGGGTCCTCATTTCCCCAAATGGATCCTAACTCAAAAGAATTGTACCATTCTTGACGTCTCCAAAACCGGAATTTCAAATCATATTCCCTACAATTTTTGGAAAAGTCTTCCTAATTTGGAGAGTCTTGATCTGTCTGATAATGAAATCAGGGGAACAATTCTGGATAAGCAAAGATTCAGGGGACCTTCGAGATTGATTTTGAAGGAGATAGATTTGAGTTCAAACCAGCTAGAAGGCTCGATACCTCTTTTTTTACTCGAAGTGGTTTCACTAAATCTTTTCAAAAATCGATTTTCAGACCTAAATTTCCTGTGTAAGGTTCATAAATCTCCATATCTGACCTTTCTTGATGTTTCATACAATCAACTTTCGGGCGAGATTCCTAATTGTTGGTCAAATATGCGCTACTTGCGAATTCTTATTCTGGCAAATAATAAGTTATCGGGGAAAATTCCTGCCTCTCTTGGCTTGTTAAGGAAACTACAGACCTTGCATTTGGGTAACAACAATTTGACCGGGGGATTGCCTTCATCCTTACAAAATTGTACATGGTTGATTATTTTTGACGTAGAAGCAAACAAATTGTCAGGGCAGATACCAGCGTGGATTGGGAAGAGTTTCGCAGCTCTTGTCATTCTTAGCCTGCGATCCAATAACTTCAATGGGAGTATTCCTGTAGAGCTGTGTCGCTTAGTACGCCTTCAACTCTTGGACTTGTCTTCAAATGATCTCTCGATCAATGTCCCCAAATGTCTTGACAATATTACAGCAATGAAAGAAATTGGGAGCGAAGATTCAACAATTTATTGGCCTTACGAAGGCAACGACCCAACTCGTTTCGATGTTCCTTTGCAATTCTAAGACGAAAGATTATTTTTAGTATGGAAAGGAGCATTCCAGGAATTCACAAGCTTGGGACTTCTGAAGAACATTGATTTGTCCAGTAACAAGTTGTCAGGTGAAATTCCAAGAGAAATCACTAAGCTCCTTGGATTGATTTCTTTGAACTTGTCGAGAAACAATCTGACTGGAAAGATCCCGCAAGAGATTGGTCGGTTGAAATCTTTAGATCTTCTTGATTTGTCAAACAATCACCTTTCCGGCCGAATTCCTTCGAGTCTCTCTCAAGTAGATCGTCTCAATACATTGGACTTGTCAAGCAACAATTTGTCAGGCAAAATTCCAACAGGAACTCAACTCCAAACACGCGATGCTGCTGCATACATGGGAAATCCTGAACTTTGTGGAGATCCACTCCCAAAGAAATGTCCAGGTGAAGAAGAACCACCCATCTCTCCTGGAGCTACTGAAGATGCCCACGATGGCGAAGAAGAAGATGGGTTCATAACCAAAGGATTTTACATTAGTGCGGCAGTTGGATTTATAGTTGCATTTTGGGGAGTTTGTGGGACATTAGTCTTCAACAAGATGTGGAGATACAGATACTTCAACTTATTGAATGACGCTGGTGATTGGCTTTACGTAACCGTAGCAGTTCGCAAGGCAAAACTGTCGAGGATGATCAAAACCTAGCTAATTGGTAAATACTTTTTCTCTCAAAAGATTTAGGGAAAGTTCGTTTATATAAGTTATCATTCTCTTGCTTAATTAATTAATTTTTGTATTTCCTACTGCTTTGAAATGTCATAGAGAAGCATAGCTTTATTTTGCCCTATGTTGTATGCAGGTTCTGGAGCGCTTTCTGTTTCAAAGTGAGAGCTTGTAAAATAGTTGAAGTACTTGATTTGTTGCAGCTTTCCATCTTTCGATGCAAGGGAAAATGGCTTGGCCTGGTGTAAATTGCCCTGCTTTGGTATTTATGCATTCTATGTTGTTAGTGTTTGTGTTTATGTATTACTATCTTATTGTGTTTGCTTTTACAATGTAGCAAGTTGTCTCCTATTCTAGCTTGGATTTCACAAAGACTGTTTTTGGCAGAAAAATGAACATAAAATGATATATTTTGTGTCAAACGACTCAACGTGTTGGCAGGCTCCTTGCTTGGGCAACGAACTCTCAACGCGTCATCCTGTTTCATTGTTAAAAAAAAATGATATTTTGTGTAGCCTGACAAAAATATGGCAATTAATTAAGTACTTGTTTTAGTTTATTCTCATTATGCTGCTGGTTCATTTTTATTGGGAATCTTCTAGCTACGTTTTTTCTCTGGAAAAAAAAAATGATCTAAATAAGAAGAATTTGAATGAAAGAGAACTTAACTCTCCCCATGTTGGTTCCAGCAAAACAGTTATATAGCAATAATACATGAATATATGATTTCCTTTCTACAGGTGAAGGTAAAGAATAGTTTTTCAAAGATGAAATAAGTCATCTATCCAGGAATGTGAATAATTTTTAACAAGCAAGAACTATAAAAGCAAAAAACAAATGACGAATATGAGGGAATATATAACATGCAAAAAATAGTTCCAAGTCGTTCTCAGCAGTAGTAACTCAACAGATTATGGTATTTAAGTCAAAATTTGGGAAGACCAAATCACTTTCAAGCAAATATTTCCTGCTTTTCTTTTCCTCTTTTCCTTTTTAAACTCGGTTTGAACAGAGTAACAAGTAATCTCTAATTCATGGAAAGAATAAAATACGGAAATAATATAAAATATGCCAATATGAAAAGCTTAAGGAAGTATATAGGCCAACTTTTAGTTATAAAAATTAATAGGCCATAACTTGTCAAGTTATGATTCATAACCAGATAAATTATGGATAAACTTGTCAAGTTATGGTTCATAACCAGACAAGTTATGGACAAAAACCGTGATTTATGGACAATAACTTGTCAAGTTATGGCTCATAACCAGACAAGTTATGAACAAAAATAATAATTTAACCTATTTATTAACTTAAATAAACTATTGGCCTATTAATTTTAATTTATCTCAAGTCTTGACCTATTTCTCTATTTTTTTCAATAAAATAAGGTCCCAGATTTACCATGGACGGCAAATAATTTTATATCGCTGAAAAAATGGTGCCATGGACGCAGAATATAGCCCAAAAAAAAAAAAAAATAACATAACATATTATTTCAGTCCGTCATATTCACGTTCAGCTATAACCATTCACTTGTAGATGACACGAAGCTGTGCTAAATTATTACTGATTTCCATTTCCCATGATGGTAAGTAAGAATACGCTTAAAGCTCCATTCTGAAATATAAGTTGTCTTTGTCACACTTGATATTCTAAAAAGGTAGAGTTCCGCAGTTAAGTTGGCAACAAAAAGTGATCCAATGCAAATGGCAGTTCACAGAGAGAGAGAGATGAAAGAATACGGACAGGAAGTCTTCAAAATAATTGGGGGAGTTCCTCTCTATTATTGATTTTTCGTCATCATAAACATATTTCTCTGTCCATTTTTATACTTTACAGATGGCTCAAATGATACCCTTTATGACTGACTACAAATGAATGAATGTAAGCATCCTCCCTAACTGTATAACATATAAATAAATATATATATATATATCCCTTTTAATTCTCCTCTTCTTATCAACAACCCCTCCTCCAACGACTTCTACCCTTCTTAAATAATCAAAAAATCAATGAACAAAAAGAAAATGAAGCACGATTGGTTGTTTTTCTGAATCACAAAAGGTTATCATATTTGCACCTCTACCTGTCTTCCGCATTAAACCTCAAGTGTGACGCGGGTCTTTATCGGTTTGAGCTTTAATCCCATGCTCTCTGGAGAGAGGAGCTCCGGAGAGATGCAGGATGGGCTGAGTGGGCTCCTTGGGCTGTCACTGAACTGGCAAGGCCTATACAAACCATAGCCCATGAAGAAATACTCCATTGGTATAAGCATTGCATGTGGCTGCTCCTCTGTCACCATCGAGCCACAAGCCTGAACCTGCACCAGCATCACATTCTCCGTTGGAAAAATGCCACTTCTACATTCATTTATTTTATCCCAATCAGAATATTTGGTCAACTAAACATACCTCTACTAAGGCGCTATATCTCCTATCTAATTTTGCTGTCATGTAAAGAGCCTCAGAATGAAAAGGGGAGCTATCCCCGATGAAAATAAGTGTGCGACATTTTAGACTCTTCAAGCCCTCTGTAATGTCACGTCTCCTGCAAGCAGACAAAGAAAAGAGATATAGCAATATGTAAACGCAATATACCAATTGCAAACCCAAAATATGAAATAAAATCACACAGAATGAATGAAAATCTGCGTAGTATATTACCCATTAATTGCTTGAAGAAAACGCAAAACATTTACGCCCTGCCTCTCTTCCAGCAACTGAACAAGGAAAGAAGTCACAGAATTAAACTAGATTCATCCTTCAAATCCTACTACTTTAAGTAAATGTGTCTTTGCAAGTGTGCGGTGCAGGTTTTTGTTTTTGAATATTTTGGAGAAATGATTAACTCAAGCACTAACCTTTCTGCATGCTTGAACTATATCGGATTCTGGAACTTCTGCATTACCCCGAACCTCCTGTACGATATAAATCATCCTTTATCCATCATCAACCAACAAACAGAAGAGGAAATAAAGGAAAGGAGCAGGCTGGAAAAAAAAAGTACCTTACTGAAATACCGTTGGAGCAAACACTCTTTTAGCAAACCACACATGCCATAAAAATATAGCAAATTTGACATCACCTGCATATTGCAAGTTTGATAACGTTATTTCATATAAGAAAAATGACAAAAACAGAAGTTTGATAAGGCTAACAACTAGGCTCAGGGGTAAAAACCTTATTATAAATCCATTCCGACCAAGAGGGTGCTTTGCATAGAGGAGATACAAGTATCAAACCAAGAACACGCTCTCTATATTTCATCTGTGACACAGAAACATTAATTAGTAAATTTTGTTTGGAATCAGAAAAGAACACAGAATAAGAATACTCCAGAGGAAACTTACAGCAAATAAGGTAAGGATATAGGCACCCGCTGTTACTCCCATACACATAACTGCACCAAGCCTGAAGGGTATGACGAAAGAATCACAAAATAAGTTATAGCGATTCTTAGATGTTATTTAAAGGGGGAGAATCCCTTCTATTTCCGCTCGTCATAACTATTAACACTAATAGTGAAATGTTCAATACAGCGTTACATATTTTCTCGGTCTCACAATTATTAGTGAAAAAGTTATTTAATATTAAAAGATCCCAGGGGGAAAAATCATAATGAATTACCCAAAAAAGTTGAGAACTTCAACAATCTGGTCTGCTAAATCATCAACAGAAGGCACAGGATCATCTGGGCAAATTGGAGCAGCTCCCAACTGCAAGAACTCTTGCGGAAGTGCCAAAGAAGGAACTTTGTTAATAACAGTATTCAGTTATACAATGGTTCTGAGGAACAAAACATTCCAACATTAAGGATAGCCGAGTCAGATAAGCGCACTCAAACCAAAAAACTTACTGACCTCATGGCCAGGAGGACTGATATGGTATATACAGAAGTTGTGGAGCAGCAAAGAAGATGCTTCAGGACAAAAAAATAATCCTTGGAAACAAGACATATCTGCTCAAATAATTTAGAGAAGATTAAGTTTTGCTTGATTGTCAGATAGTCTTAGCAAATAAAGAACGTATATGTGTTGGTGAACTTTTAATATCTGATACGACCCAAAAAATAAGCATCATGAACAATACCAACCAAATTAAAACTAGTGCACTTACGGTTTAAAGCTAAATCAGGATAAGTAATAAGTGCGGGCTTGTCTTGGTCCCCATAGATGATAACAGACACATTGCCACGGCCGGTTTGTATTATATGTTCCTGTCAATGAAAGGTTACGTGAGTGACAGACAAGAAATTCATCAACGTATGAGAAACTGAAGGAAAAAAAAAAATGCATGAGCAGAAGACACAACTACACATCCACGAAAATATCAAAATCAAATAACGGTTTGACTACCATTGTATTCTTCTTAGTAATATGTTAATATATCTGGGATTCTTGGATAATGTGGTGCTTTTAGGAGAAATAGCCTTGATAGAAAAATCTACTACACGTACACCATATTCCTAGCCTCCAAGTAAGGGCTAATATCCAGCACCTTTCTTCAAGATTTATTCTCCCTGGGACTTCACATGTGCACTTGCCCCTTTTAAGGCAACTTAAAAGAAACTTGACACTTTTTTTTTTTGTCATATGACTTTTAAAAAGATAGATGAAACAGTCCAGATTTCAATTATTGCAGAAATTTTTTCGTTTTTTTCTGGATAAGGATAAAGGAAAAAGGAAAAGAGACTTGGTTATACTTAAAAAGAGACGCAAGGAATCTTACATACACAAAAAGACATTTTCTTTAAGGTTTTAAACTGGTAAAAATTATCAATAAAACAAGGAAACAAAACAAATGGTAAGACGGAGTAACAACTCGGCCAGTCAATAACATAAAAAGAAAACAAGATAACCAATGAAGAAAGATGCATTTTTTAATTATTTCCTCATGGGCAGTAAACTTCGAAATGGATCCAGCGGAGAATCCAATTTCTTTCCCACAAAGTGAATCATCCATGAAGGAAAGAATCAGAAAATAAGAACGGAAAACAATAAAAACTTGCCAACAATGGAAACTAAGAAAATGGAAAGAAATAAACAGCATCCCATTTCGCAACCCATATCAACACCCAAAAAAGCTCACAAAGAGTCAAAGAGTTTCAAACAATTGGCAAAAAAAAATGACCGAAACTGAAATTTGAAAGCTTTACATAAAGGGTCCCGGACCTGAAGGAATTAGATTACAGAAAACATATAATGAAGGAAGACCGGAAAGACAGCTTTATTTTGGCAAAACAGAGCGCAAAAAAATGATAAAACTTGTATTATTGACTAAAAAAGGTTTCATTCATAAACGGAAAGCTTCGTTTTTTTCTGAAATGCTAAAACGGGGAAAAAGAAAACTAAATTCGAAAATAAGGCATGTACAAATCTAGCGTTTACCATTTTCAAATCTTCCATATCCCAAACTAAAAAATCGACCAAAAAACCATTCGAACACTTTCAGAAAATTAAAAAAAAATTCGTGAAAGCTCTCTCTGTTTCTATCGATTATCAGCATAAAACCTCATTAACCTAAAAGTTTCGATTTTTGAAAACCGATTATTTGAACCGAATGCAAAATAATTATAATAATAAGCTTCAGATTGATAAATCTTCAGAACAAAATCTGTAAGGAAGAGAAGAAACAAAAATGAAAATAAATAAATCAATAAAAAGCCAAAACCTTTACCTTTCCACCGAGATAGATCTTCTCCATATCAACAGAAACGAAATCGTTAGAGTCAGCCATGGCCGCAGCTCCTGTGCCTCTTTAAAGTCCCGAAGCCAAGAGCCCCCTTTCCCTCTCTCTCCACTCTCTCTCTCTCTCTAGAACTCCCTCGTCTCTTTCTCTCTCTCTCCCCCAAAGAAAAAGTTGGCCTTCAGCTTCGATGGCTTATATACGAAGCGATTCTCTCTCTCTCTCCTCTCTCTCGCTCTCTCTAAACTGAGAAACTAACCAGCGGTTAACCACCACCGACGCTCTACTCTTCAGAGTCGTCACAAACTAACTTTTAACCGCCGTCTAATCCCTCCAATGAAGAAAAACGACGTCGTTGTCTGTAAAACGTCGACGTTTTTATGTGGGTGTCCATTTTTTTGTATTGGTTTTTGGCCTCGTGTAAATTTTTTTTCTTTTTTGGGGATCCGAAATTTGACCGAATGGGAATGATGAGTGGCACGGCCTCCTATCATTTGGGTTTGACTAAAAGTGTTTGTTGGTGCTCTGTCAATGTGTACACCTGTCATTGGATGCTCTTTTTGGTGGGTCCTAAATTACTCATGTGGGCCCATCTCTCTCTCTTTTTTTTTTTTTTTTTTTTTTTTTTTGAGAATGACATGTATTTTCCATTTTGTATGGTCCTTTGAAGTAACAAAATTGTGGGTTGCTTGCCGTTCATTTGACTCAATGATTAATCATATACCACCACTAATCATGGTTTTGTCATTATATATATACATACATTAATATAAATATGTTTCTAATATCACTTTTTATTTTCTGTGTTGGGATTTTGTTCGCCCTTGCTGTCTTCACCTAACTATTAACTTACCACCATTTTGGTATAATTATGGAAAAGTTTTCATATTTATTGTTTTCTTTTTTCTATTTCTTTTTCCCCTTTGGATTATTGATTGTTTAGGCACGGAAAGAAATAGATCTTGATCATTCATGATGGGGAATAGTGTAATAAAGGAAAAGGAGTATATTTTAGAATCAAGTATTTAAATGGGTTAAATTGTAGAGGGTTGCTAGTATGATAGTTTTTTAGTTTTTTTTTTTTTTTGGTGGTAAACTAGTATAATAGTATTTAATGCACTAACAAATTTAGCACATCCTTCTATAGACTTCTTCAAAACCCCATACAATATAAATCATGCAAAGAAGATGACTTTAATTTCAATCAAGTTTTATGAAAATGACCATAAAGTGGTTTTAATTTTTATATTTGTTATTTTTGTTGAAACATCTATTCATCTATTGAGATTTGAGATCAATCAATTCACTATTTGCTTTGCTGTCCTTTTAACTCAAAAATATAAACATGTCTACATGTCTACAATACATATCAATTGAATAATATATACAAACAACCCCCACAAACCCATTTTCATCAATTTTTATATAAAAAGCTTTCTCTAAAGGGACCTTAAAAGTCATTCGTGATAATCACTTGTATGTGGCCTATGCTTCTCAACTTGTTTATGCCACATTAATTGTATGCGTAATCAAATCAGTGCCCAATTCATTAAACTAATCAAAAACAATTTAAACCAATTGGATACATCTGACCAGAACAAAAAAAAAAAAAAAAAAAAAATTCCTTGAACCTGTTTTGGCGTGCTCATTGCATTGCCAACAACTACATTCCATGTCTTATTTTAATTCTAGCACCAAATTCTTTTCTTTACAATTATATATATACATATATATATATATTGAATAAGCAAAGTTTTATTTATTTAAAAAAAAAAAGAAGAAAAAATGTTTCAATCCTAAAGCATAAAAGTCAAAAACATTTAGCAGAAAAGCAACCAAAAGATGAAAGGCAAACAAAACTAAGAAAGAATAAAATAAGAAATCATTAAGATTTTCTCGATTTATAAAACCAACACTGAGCTGGTAAGAAAGATCTTGTTATTATTATCATACTATCATTAGTACTATTATTATCTTTATATTTTTAGCTAAATAGAGACCTAACTATATGGCAGAGTGAGAATTTTGTTGCAGATCTGAGTGCATTACCAAAATTAATGCTAGCAGATCTTGTAGTAATAATAGCAGGTATTTTGTTCCCATATCTCTATATAGCACACGTGAAATGCTCCTAATATGTCTCTTTCCATTACTTTTATTTCCCTTTTTCTTGCCGGTAACGTCAAAAAAACTTTGCAAATAAGGGCTCAATAAGCGAAAAGGAATGCTTTTGTTAGGTGTTACACCTTACACTGCCCGCCTATTCATGTTCAAATAATGGAGTAGTGATGTTAATTAGGCGGATTTTAGAAATTTGGCTGGACCCCATTTGAAAGAAAATTTACAGTGAAGCCAAATGGGAAGTGAATGACTCGTTTGTCTTAGCTTCAGCTTTGAGAGTCAACTGGCTTTGGAAGTGTCTCGAGTTACCACCAAGATGTAGGGGTGGCAATTCGGGTTAGCAGGTTGTGTTCGTGTCTGTTGACCCACTTAGTTGATACGAATAAGTCTGACACGAACACGACCCGTTTATTAATCGTGTCAAAATATAAAACCCGAACACGACATGTATATTGACGGGTTGACACGACACGACACGAATAACTCGTTTATTAAATATGTCATAAACTTGTCGTGTCAACCCATTTATAAAATGAATGATAAATGGGTCGTGTTAACCTATTTCTGGTGGTACTTTATCATCCACTCTTGGAAGTGTCTCGAGTTGCCACCAAGCTGTTTTAGTTAAAAAAAAATTAAAAGGTTATAAACGACAGAAATCACAAAACGGTTGTTTGTTTTTTACATTCCATTCGATATGAATGGAAGGAAACAAAAGAGAAATGGTCACAAATGATCACCAAATATAAGAATATTTAACCACGGATAAAGACTAAATCTATTAAGAAAGATGAATGATGTGTAAATATGAGATTACAGTTTATATCAACTTAATTTTTGAATGAAATTTCTCCGTTTAGAGAAAAAAAATGAAAAATGGTAGAAATGATAACATTTTTCTTTCATGTCCTTTAAAATAAGAGAAGGAAAATAAAAAAATAAAAACGAGTACTTTGGCAATTATTTATCTGATCCATTTGCTCTTTCTTACATGTAATGTCAACTTTTTTTATTCTCTAAAATCTTCACCGTGTTCACTTTTCTACCCCTGCCAAATCTTTACTATCTTTTTTACTTTCTCTCTCCGCCAATCACTCTACTCGTTTTCACACCTTTCACTTTTCAGTTCTTTTCTGTTTTCACTTCCCGCATTAAAGCTGTTTTCCTGCAGAATACTAGGATAAATTGTCGTTTGATGAATGTCTTCATTGTCCTTCTGAATAAGAGGGTTGATAATAGAACATCACTTAACAAGTCTTTTTTTTCCCTCTTAAAGGACATTTAAATGCTGTTTAGTTCGTTAATTTAAATTTTTAATTTGAGTTAAGATATGATTTTATATGAGAGTTTTTTATTGTAATAACAAAGTTAAATGTGATTATTTTTAAAAAATTTTACTGTAACAAAACTTAAATTTTAAACTTGAATCAATGAAATAAACAGGATCATAATCAAGTCATTTGTTAATGTCTCTAATGTCACTCTTTATCAACAGCAAAGCACATACAACTTTCCCAAATAAAACACTAATCTAAAGTCGGTACAAGAAGAGTGTTAAATGCATATATATGCAAATGACGCGAGTAAATGATATGTTGCCCGAAAAGCAATCAATGGCAGAGAATTTAGAGATGTCAATTGTGTCCGTCAATTCGGCCCAGAATTAGTTAGTTTATACGTGTTTTGTGTTGTTTTTGGCATGGCCTACTAAACCTTTATACCGTGTTCGTATTAGCTCAAAATTTAAAATTACAGACCTAGCCTGACCCATGATCTCAGGCCCATTCATGCTCATGCTCGTACTGCACTTGTACCTTTATCTTGGCATAATAGATCTTTAAGTCGGTCTATTGAACCATTGAGTCATTTAAATCTAATTTTTTTAACAGTTTTTAAATAAAATATAATTCAAATAAAAATATAATTTTATATTCTATTACTAGACAAAAAAAAAAACTTGATGTCATCATTATTATAAGTACTAATTTATAAATAAAATTTTCATTTTATTTAAATTAATACTGAGAATAGGAGACAACTAATATAAAGGGATAACAAATTAAAATTAACGAAAAATTATTTGTAACAATAATTTTTATATTTGTTTAGAGATATGTAATAATAACGAAAATTATTAACAAAAAGAAAAAACTTATATTTGTCTTGCCGGCCCATCGTGCTTAATAGGTCGTGTCATACTTGTGTCGTGCTCGTGCTTGTTGTTGTGCAGTGTCGTGCCAGACCCACATGTCAAAATTTATAAACCCGACACAGCCCACCACCTCATATCGCCTCATGTCGTGCTTAGTCCAACTTATTATTATCTCATGTCATCGTACTTGATGAGCGGCCCAAATCCAATTGACATCTCTAGCTTATGCACTAGCTAGTGACTGGAACAGTTCATTTAGCACTTCTCTCGGTACCAATGAAGTCAAAATTGGCTAACCTTGTGGAAACAAGATACTAGATAGGGCAGAAAAGTTTGTTTTTTTTTTAAATGATCCACGCATGACTTATCCACTAAAGTTAGAGTTTTCATTGGTCGCTAGATGTTGGATATTCGCTTTGTCGAGTTAATGCACTGACGATAATTAGGGTTCTCCAAAAGAGAGATTTTGGTCGTAATGACTTTGGTTTATTTTATTTTATATGATTATCTAGTTAATTGTCTTTATTTCCAGGGAGTAAGATTAGCTTCTTATGCCTTTAATTCAGACAGTGAATTTATTTAGTTGGAAGAATCACTTCCATCTATTGAATTTGTTTTTATATTAGATGCTATGATTTTATAGAGAATAACAGATTTTTCATTTAAAAAGATAAGAGAGATTTTTATAGTTAGATCTCGTGAAATGAAATACTAATAGGTCTTTGTTTTTCAGCCGTCAAATTTATATTAAAAGTTATCTATTATTGAGAAGTTTTTTTTAAGTGATTTTAATCAAATCTAATAATTAGAAATATGCACTATCACTTTTAAAAAAATAAACACGCACTATTCATAGGAGGCCTTACTGTAAAAATCCTTAAAATATGTCTTTTAAGTTAATTTACCAGCTTTTTTCTTAAGTGACTTTGGTAAATCGTTGATTGATTTGTGGTTATTAGTTATTGATCTTGCTAAATACTCGATTAAT